TGTTATTATTTATAATAATACTATTTAGTACATAGGTAATAATATTTATTGTAGCCCCCTTTTTATGGATGAGGTACAGAAATGGGAGGAAACTTCCCCAAAGTTACACAGTTTGAAAGTGGGGAGATTCAAACCCCAACAGTCTGAGCCAGAGCCAATACTTTTCAGTACCGTGTGACACAGTGCTGTAATGAGAGATGTTTAAATAAACTAACCAAATTGTCCACATGATTCTGCAAGGAGAAAAGGTCAGTGCTGCTGCAGATCCTCTGAGCCTTGCCACAAAGATGCTGTGAACAGAGGGTCAGCGTGGAGCTGGACTAAAGTGGGCACAGGGTGGGAGACCAGCCTGGACCCCAGACACGGCGTCACAGACACGCTGACCTTGCCTTGGTCCTGCTACTTACCTTCACCCAGCTGGGCAGAAATACCAGGAATGTCAGCGCTACTATCGTGGGCAGAGGAGGCGAGCCAGGCCTGAACTGGCCTGAGGCCAGGGTGGCAGGGCCTAGTAGCATCCATCGCAAGTCACAAAACAAAGGCAGAGGAGGGGGCCCTGGTTCAGAAAGACTAGGTGGACACCACAAACCCACACAGCAGAGCGGAGGCCAAAGACCAAATTCAGACACGAGGTGAGTGCAGAATCCCACTGGCAGCCCAGACAGCATCCCTGGCCAGGGATGCTGGTCTAGCCAGCTCGCCAGTGCCCACGGGAAGAGCGAGAAGGGGTTGGCACCAGCCGCTGGGTACCCCTGGTATCCCGTTCAGGGGACACCCAGCAGACTACTCAATATCCTGGGAATGCCAGCCATCTGTCTTTATTTTTTCATTTTTATTATTATTATTTTTCTTTTTCTTTAATTTTTTTGAAATAAAGTTAACATACAATATTGTATTAGTTTCAGGTGTACAACATAGTGATTTGACATGTATATACATTATGAATGGATCACCATTTATTATTTTTTTTAACAGAGGTACTGGGGGTTGAACCCAGGACCTCGTGCATGTTAAGCATGCACTCTTCCACTGAGCTATGCCCTCCCCCTCCACTTTCAATACTGTGTGAACAGCAGGGGAGTGGAGCTGGCACCTCCAGAGGAGAAAAGAGGTGGGTAAGAGGGGGACATCAGCCTACACCTGAGACTCTGCAGAACCCGCGCTGGGCTGGGCCCAGCACCTCACTTCGTTTCATAATGAACAAGCATTCAAGTGATCTCCCTCCCTTCAAACAGCCAGAGCCCAGAACTCACCCGCATGGGCTCATCCGGGAACCCGGGTTTGCTCGGCCTGTCCTGGCGCCGGGATCTCAGGAGTTGTTTGGCCTGCTTTTCCGTCAGAATCGGAGAGGCCTCTGGGAAAAGTCAGGAAGGGACGTTTAGGGACTCCCGGCCACACAAGTCCCTGCTCCATCTCACAGTCCAAGGCAAAGGATCTGCAAGTCCAATTTCAGTCAGCACACAAAAGTTCTTTCACAGGAACCTGTCCCAAGGGATGAGGCATTCCAGAGGGCTCAGAGAGGAATTTTAAATTGTTCCTAACACGGTTACCTCGGAGTATAAGCTGCAAAACTGAAACATTCACCTACTTCAATGGCCCATTCCTTTAAACGTGGGTGTTAATCTAATGAATATGTTTCATAAAACATGTTTTCTTCAGTCCTCTGGTCACTGTGTTTCTTGTCCCTTAGGGTAGCTTTGGCGGGATTCTTTTAAATTCCCAGTACACTGAATCAAGTTAAAGTTGTTATTAGAAGATATCCCTTGACAATAAGTTTATGTTAAACTTGATCATCATAAATGATCCTTCAAGGAGAATAGTATAATAAAAGCATATCAATAAAAAAATTTTAAATATATCAAATTTTGATGATCTCCTATAAACTCTAAAAGATGGTATCATTGAAGATTTAGCAGCATTTTTGAGAATCAGTGTTCAAATATGTTTAAAGATTACAAAAAATAATTTATCCCTAATGATAGCAATTCTGGGAGCCTGCTCTTAGGGAGGAAAAAACAGAGGCATTGAATTATTATACATTACACAGTATTTGAAATTTTGAAAAAAATACTTTAAATATATAAAATAGACTTATTCCAGTTTATCATGCCTGCGTAGATTTCAGAGGTTAATGCTCACCTGAGAAGGAAGTCAGTAAAATGAGAGACAGCACAGACACAGATAATCTCTTCATCCTGCCTGGGTCCCTCTCTCTGCCTGTTGCAGAATGAATCGCCTTCCAGTGAGCCTGCCTATTTGAAGGAAGCCACATCTGGCCCAGAGACTGTTTATGCTTTGACTAACAGCACTTAGGGCATGATGCTAAATGCTTCTGATGCTGAGTTTTCAGTATGATCGTGGAAATATTTTCCTCTGAATTCCTGTCAGTTTTCATCCTGAGGAAGGAAACAATCTGTACGACTTTCAGAGCTTGAATTTGAGAAAGCAACACGTGACCATCATCGCATTTAAACACACGTATCTATACATCATGGAGTAGTGTGTGTTTATGTGTAGCTCCAGTTTAAGCTCCTACTGTTTCAGCACATTTGCATATCTTATGACATTTTCCCAAAGCCCATTCACCAATCTAACTTAACCTTCCTGATAATTTCAGAGGGAGGCAGGGAAATTAGCAAGGGGTCTAATGAGGGGGAAAAATTGTCTTCAGCTGACCTTGGAGCCAGATAGACCAGGGCTCATGCCCTGGCTCATGTCTTTCTAGCAATGTAACCTTCGGTCAATCACTTACTCTTTCTGAGCTTCAGCTTCTTCTCCTGTGCAAAGGAAATATCAGTGCCTCTCATGTGGGGTGTGATTAAGGATGAGGAGAAAGGGACCAATGGCAAGGCAGCTAGCACTCACTACTCACCATTAGCCATCTTCATTTCACAAAGAAGAAAGTGAGGTTCACGGTGGAGGAGGAGATA